CCCGGACCCGGGCGGCCCGGCTGGTAGCCTAGCCAATAATATTTTTTTTTTTAGGAAAGAAGGGGGGGGAAATCACAGAACCAGTCAAAATAAGCATTTTTTTTTTTGTCTTTTAGGTTTTTTCGATTTTTTTAATATTTTTTTTTATGTCATCACGATGTGGCGCTTGTGGCCACGGTAGTGGGGTGAGCCGGGGAGGGAAAAAAAAAAAAAAAAAAAATATGGCGCTTTCATGGTTTTGCGGGTCACCGTGAACGACTGACTGACTGTTCACGAGCGCAGGGGCGCATGACCGGCCGGTCACGTTCACGGTGACGGCACTGGTGTCAGTGTCAGGTTTTAGTAACCGTTTGCGGGGTGTTCTTCTGGAGTTGGGGAGGGGGCCATCAGTCTGCAATCCCGGTCAGGGTATGATTTCAGCCAATAAGGTACTAGAAGATCAATAGCGTAGCCTTTCAGGTAGCCTCATGGATTGCTAGTGGGTAGCCTCAAGGATTGCTAGTGGGTAGCCTCAAGGATTGCTAGTAGTAAGCGTTTCTCATCGTCCTCGGTTCCTAAATCTCGGGTTACGATCTGCAGTTACTTTTTTGACTCGCACTTCAGAATTAGTTCGTATAGTCCCTTACCTCAGTTACCTGTGTTCTGGTCAGAGTAATTCCTGGCCCCTATTTATTTCAGACCGCTATTTTCCACTGCTGCATGGTTTTCAATCTCTGAATCTCGGATAATTTATGATCTGTAGAGTTGTGGAGACTAATTAAAGTTAGCTTTTCAATTTTTAATTTCGGGGTAACTACGGCGCAGTCACGAAAGCAGTTTGTAATTGCATTTCAAACTGCGTTTTAGCAGTTTTTTAAGTCAGGGCCCGAGTTTCAATTGCAGTTCAAACTCGGGCTGCGCAGTTCAGTCAGGGCCCTCATCTATCCACGAACAGCAGATTAAAAAAAAAAAAAAAAAAAAAAAACAACCATCCCTTATACTGTGATTACGGTACAGTGTTTGTCTGGAACTGAATGAAGCAAGGCATTTAGCTGCCTCGCGTGGAATCCACCCTGCCTGGCTGGCAGGGGACCTCACACAAGAAACAAAAAAGCCAAAAGACCTGTTTCATGTTCCTCACTTGCTGGCCAGATACATTCCTTAAAGCACTGGTGAGGTGAGGGCCTTCCCGACGTAGGTGGATTCGAAGTTCCTCGTTTCTTTACTTTTTTAATATATTTATTTCTTCTTTTTCTTTTTTCTGTTTTTGGCCTCCATCCCTGCCCCGAGCCCCCCACTTCTTCAGAGTAGGCTACTCTTGAGACTTCGGGTTTGCCTGTGAAGGGTAGTACCTGCGAATCTCGGCTGTGGCAGAGACATCTCGGCCTTGGCCAATCTGGGGTGTGGCCGAGACATCTCGGCCGTGGCCAGTCTGGGGTGTGGCCGAGACATCTCAGCCGTGGCCCAACCATGGGGCTGTTTTCTTTTTTTTTCCCCAGCCAC